TACAATTTCTGATTTTTGTTAGTTGATGAAACTTGAACAATAATGTTTGTTTGTTGCTTGTTAATTTTATGATGAGATTCTCGCACAATGGGATGATTTTCACACAATGGGGGTTTGGGAGCGTTTTGTGTTTGAACTCAAATGGACTTTCTGAAATGGGGAAGGGGAAGAACTAGTGCACATATTTGTGTTAACACGAAACAAAAATGCACTTCTGGACCCCTCTCGTAAGTGCGTTTCTGATTTATTTATGCGTGACATCTGCAGTTTTTTAGGCTAAACTATGGTCTATAGTTGGGGTGCTTTCAGAAATACAACTACAGTTTCCTCCCGTAAATGCACTTTTGGTTAGTTCTCGGCTCTTTTATAGGGTCTTGCGCACCAAAGGCATGGCTTATGGTGCTATCAGAAATGTATTTCCGATATCTGAGAGCATTTATGTATTTTCGCACGGTGCGCTAGAAAAGCATAAGGTGTGTTAAGAAATTTCCAAAAGTTATATTATAATGTGGGCTCAAAAATTACAACCTGAGTCCGACCCTTTATGGACTTCGGGATACCCGACCCTAAACGAGCTACTTTTTATATTATTTTTTATTAAAAAATTTAAATAAAACCCCATAATATTTTTATAAATACAATAAAAAAAGTATATTATTCTTCATATAATATACTTTTAAATATAAGATTATTTTTATAAAATTATAATATGTTAATATATGTCTAAATTGTATAACATTAATATTAATATAAGATAAATTAATAGAATAGGAGGAAATTGTGAAGTAAAACACATAATTAAATATTATTTTGAATATATTAATGTATAATATTTATAATTTTTTTTGAATATAATAGAGATAAAACATAGTGAGGTGAGAAAAATCAATGTGTTATTTTGGCGTGAGACAACATAAATATTAATATTTTTTAATTTATATACTAAACATGCCTAATGGGCTACTCGCAACCCATACGGGTTAGCTCTAATGGGTAGCGTATTTTTTAGAGTTGAACTAAAAAAGCCCTAAATAATATGGGCTCTAATTTTAAGGCTCAATCCCTATGATTTTTTTTTTGGCTTGGCGGATCGGCGTATATGGGCTAACCCATTTTGACGGCTCTACTTGAGAGTTTACTCCTCTTAAAGTCTCAGGCTCGAATCTCTCTAGGTACAAATAATTCATGTGTTGGGTCAGTCCATACAGAGCTTTGCTTTGACTTTAAATGAGTCCCCGCAAGTGGACAATGGGATTGGTCCCTTGGATTAGTTGATTGCAAGATCGAATACCTATTTACTTAGAATTTTGGTAAATAAAGACAATTTGATTTCACTTAAGAGATTAAACTCGAAATGATCCTAGGAAAGATTGTGCAAAATTATATGTTTGACATATATTTTATAATAAGAGTTAAAATGAAAAGATAGTTTTAATGCAACAAATGAAACAATGAAAAATAAAAGAAACTGAATTTACAAATGAAATGCAAATGCATACATTTTCAAATAACTCTTTTTTCTTTAACACTTGGATACTTTGAGTATGTAGAATTTGTGTGAAATTGAGGACCCCTAATCCTACAAACGTGAAGTGTTTATATATTAATTCAACTATAATCGTCAACAACAGTCGACCAAGCCACGTCTGACACGTCTTCATTTCCATGCAACTTTCGTCTCTAATAAGTTTCCACGCGTCCTTCATAATTGTTTAATCTTATCTGTTCGCACCTTACTTCGACAAACATGTATCAATATAAGAAGTTCCAACACAACATTCTCCAAATTTCACTAAATCCCAAAACTTTCTTCGACAAAAACCTTAATATCCATGATTCAACCAAGGTTTCAAGCACACCTTCGACTCAACCAAGGATATAACCTAAGTCGAACCAAATGACCAAGATTCTATTTTTAATCCTTTTATTTCTGGTGTCAAAAATAAAAGGTAACAAATTGCCTCCCAAAATGCCATTTTTCGACAATTCAAATGTCGAAGAGGAGAAAAGTGGCATTTTTGATCGATTTTCGACACTATTCAAGCGCGTATCTTTCGATCAGCTTCTCCCCAAAATAAAGATTATCTTATGTGGCAAAACAAAGTGAAAAGTAAAAGACAAGCACAATGTGAACAATTAGGCATTTTCGACTTTATCTAGCTTTTTAGGACTGGCCCTAAGTAAAACCCATGCATGTTGCTTGCTTCGGTCTTTTTCCAGGAAGGATCGAAAAACATTTTCCAACTCCCCTGTGGAATGATTAAGCCAACTCTATTCAACGTAGCAGTTATTACTGGCCTTCGACCCACATGGGAGACATTCAATCCCACTATAGAAACCACAACTAGTATCGATTTTCGATTCGACCGTGCTAGCTTCAAAAACTATATTTCCGACCATCATGACAATAATACCAAAGAGGTTTCTGACTTAGAGCATATCGCTTATGACCCTCCAACTCTCTTACTACATTTTCTGCTCAGGCTCTCTAGAAATAGTCAAACAGGTTATCCCTTTAACGATCCAACTTCATGAAGGTCGAAATATTTTCTTGAGTAAACTACTCTTAGCCAATATGTACAAATATTTAGGCATTGCTTCTTGTAAATTGAAAACCCTCCCTGAGACTGAAAAAAGTACCTCATCTCTGGACCTATGTAGTTTCTACAACTCTGGTTGAATGTCACTTTTGAGCCACAACTAAAGATCAATGCTTCTCGAGCTTTGTTGGTAGAAGAAGATGCTAGGAGAATTGAAGGCACTAGGTTTTCCCTAACCACTCCCGACGATCCTCACACAGAAAAAACTTTTATGAGATATATTTCTTTTGTTGCGATCATGGCACCTTTTGTGGATCGATGTGTTGGACTTAGTTGGTTTAGAAATCGGTTCCCCGGAGTTACTCTTGCTTCTTCTGTCGAAGGCAATGCTATCTGGGCAGCATATTTAACCCTTACACTCTTATCAACTCGAGTGGAAGCGGAAGCACCTAGTAGCCCGACAATTTGGATTTAGCCAAATGATGCCCAGTTCTCTCTACACTTGGGAGAATGATATATGATGGTCGAAACGCCGCTTCACCGCACAAGACTACAAGGATTGTATGAAATTCCAATGCCAACAAATGCTCTACCTGCCAACATTTCGATTTCAACACTCCTATTATTCCACAGGTGGTTGAAATATTTCAGCAGCGTGTTTGTCGAACAAACTTTTCATCAAAGGCTAATAACTGCTTTCTCTGAATTGCAGAAACTCTTAGAGCAAAATGAAGGTATGCTTCTTAAAGAACTTTAGATCATTCACAACTTATGCTTCAACTTCCTTATATGTTATTTTCTTACAATTAAGCCTGATACTCAAGGTGAGGCATAAGGCAAAGAAGTATCCACATCCGACGAAGACCCAAAGAAGCCAAAAGAAAAATAAGTAAGTTTCTTCATACCCATATTTGTTGTAATAGAATCAGTATTCGATTTTTACTTTTCTTCTTTTTAGAGTCGGAAGCGTGGCCAAAGTTCGCCTGGCGCTTCTGCTCAATCAAAGAAAAAGATGAAAACAACAAAGATTGTTGCTCTCGTGAAAATACAGGTATGCATCGATAATTTCTTGAGGTTCTTTCTTTTCGACATTGGAAAATACTAATTTCTTGATTTTTTTTTCAGGTAAGACCCCAACCTTCTGAAAATCAACATGAGGCCGAGAATTAAGTGAAAGTGAAAAGACCCAGATCTTTTCGAATCCTAGACCCAAACTTCCCTATGAACAAGGAACAAGCAAAGCAAGAAAAGGCTTGGGTTGAAAGAAGAATCTTTCAAAGAAATCTCAGCCTCTGGCTATTGGTGCAACCAATGAGGAGGGCCAAAGTCAAACCATCAACTTTGACAAGGAAAAACCAGGCAAAACACTGACAAAGCCCAAAAATCAAAATCAAACTAAAAAAGAAACCTAATGTATTAGTCACATCTTTCACGTTTGTCGATTTTGCACTGACATGTCTAATTTTCTCCTTTTCATGTACAACAAAAATCAAACGAATACTTACAGGAAAAACCAACGAGCACAAAACCTTCAACTTTCACCGAGACCTAATCTCCCATCGATTGGTCGACTCCTCTTGATTCGAGTCTTCCTTTTGTTCAGCCTGAAGTCAAACAAATTGTCAAAGATGCAGGCCCTCTGAAAGAGCAGACTCCTAAGCCTCGGATCGAGACAAATGAGTTGTCTCCTCAAAGGGGCAGTGACTTCGAAGAAAGCTTTGCTTCAGTTCATGATAACTTGGATCAAGACGATCAAAAACTGAACAAAATAGCTACAAGATGGAGAAAGAGAAATCCAAAGTGGAAGAAGAAAAAACGAAGTCTACTGTTGAAACTAATCCACCAACAACAGACTAAGGCCAACCTGAGGGGGGATAAGGGAGTAAAAAATGATCCCATGATCCAAGACACTTCTTCAAACACTTCCCTTAGCCAAGAGGAGATTCTGGCCATCAAAAAGAAGAATCTGACAGAAGCTTTGAGGCGACTTCAGAAACTTCGCAGACTGCCGACTAGAGCTAATGTCTTTGATGTCAATCTACAAGGTTATCAATGATGATGTCAAGTTTGGAACTGATGTTAAGAAATTATTGGTATTTATTCAAAACCACATTCACACTGCAATGTTTGATAGAAGCAAGGATTTGTTACTTCAGGAAAATCACGGTACATATAGCCTTAAAACATGCGATAGTGGCAACAAACCGAGTTCAAACACACTCTTAGTATTATGGGTGATTTGTGTATTGATTACTTGCCTATTGCCTATTCCTTTCGTGTCATCACTGCAATCTGTATATATATTTAGATTTGAAAAAGAGCGGGTTTGAAAAAGTGCGGAGAGGAGCCTAGAGGTTAATTTCACCTCGTCCTAACACCAATATGTGATCGTCCTAACCAATGCACTGCATCTCATCAAAACTTTACAATTTATCGTGTTTAGACTAAAGTAGTATTAGAATGCCTGACCTCCTGAAAAGCTTTTCTGTCGCATCTTATCCACAATTTTTAGCTAAAAGAAAGGGAGGGAGGAGGAGGGAGTTTCTCATCACCCACAGCACTCATTTGGAATTCCAACATATATATAATCAACCGACAATGCGCATAATAACAACCTTAAATCCAGAGGAAACTAGGAACTATATCTATTTCTACTATTCAATTCAAATAGAATACACAATTTTCAACTGCATGCATCAAAATATCACTCCCTCATGCATGTATATTCACTCAGTGAATGGAGCATCCTACTGGTGTTCCATTGGTATCCATGTTTGCAAAGGCAAGAAAGCCAGTTGCTACAAAAAACGATTTTAACAATTTCATCAGAAAGGATAACTTACAACTTTTGTATATTGCTTATGTATTCTACCATACATTAAAAATAACAACAGAATTATTTACCCAAAAAGCCAACAGAACTTGCATCAATTATTATGATGGTTGGCAGAGAGATGAGCAAAAAAGATGGAAAACAAGATGACCAGTATGAAAATCTGCAGCGAGGGGTTTAAATTAGTATATATTTATAGAAATGAGGAACCAATGTAAAACAAGAAAAAGGATAAAAGTAAATGTACCATGGTCAGGCCATATCCGCTCTCATTCCCCACGACATAAGATTTCCTGCTTAAATCAAAGAAAGGTTTGTTAGACTGTCAATGGTAAAAAGATACTTTTTAAAGTATTCGGATATTTGTATATGCCTTTTGGTTAGGAGACCAGATTCTCTGCAAGTTTTCTGTATAGCTTCCAGCCTGCTCAATGTTTTTGTTGCATTGGGATCATTTTTGTCAACCTAGAATGGAAAATGATGAATCCTTTTAGAAGGAATAAGCCAGTTTTATAACTATATCCTTGAAACTGAAAACAGCTTTAATTACATGTATTTTAATAATCCATTTCTAAAAAATCATCAAAATATATTTTAGAGCTATGGAATGAAGGGTGGGTGACCATTATGAGTTTAATATTTTGTTGGGAAAATAACAAATCAATATCAAAGTCAGTCAGGAAAGCTTTCAGTGGACGTGTGTAAGCCAAGTCATTGCTGCACAAAAAATCAGAAGACTGACTATGATATTGTTTTTCTAATTGCATAGCCGTAAAAAACAATGATTGTTCAACAGGTTATTGGCGTAGAATAACCTAGGGTTGCAAAAAAATTGGAAGACTTTGCAACCGAACAAGATTTTTAAAACAAATAAGGCTGTAGCTGGTATAATCATTCAGTCAATGACTTGACAAGTACCTGTTGCAGCATTGCTACTACAGCACTTCAAGAAAAAAAATGCCTATAGACATAATACATACATAAAAATTCATATGCAAGGGGGGTCTATCTGCATCAACTATTCATCACCCACTAACAAACAATTAATGTGTTTGCTATTATATAAATAGGAACATTATCAGGTGTAAAACATGAGTGGCATCCACATTCTTTTGGTACAATTCTAATCATACTTTGTTTAGGACCAGGGATGATTCATACCTTGGACTCCAACACGGAAGAAAAATCAAAGAAAGCCCCATAGACATCAGTCATAGTCTTTGTTCGGTCAATCACTTTGGCAGTTAGACCTATAAACCGTAACCAAAATGAAAAAATAACAGCTAGTTCAACTTTCTTTTTTTTAAAGACACACATTATGACAATGGGTAAAGAACACCAACCGCAACACGTCAGTCCATTATAGTTCCCAGATAAAAAATATATATATTTTCAAATGAAATGAGGAAAGGAAACCATACAAATGCCTAAAATTTTGAATATACATCAAGTATTATTAGTCCATTTCAAAACTAGTAATGTTCACTATAGAATTTCAGCCCGTTGTCTTCCAGCACTTAACCAACATCCATATGGATAGAATGCTACAAGACATGTAGTTGCGAAGTATTTAGATTTTAATATGTGAACATCCTAGATCCATTTAGAGAACCCAAGAAAACATGTTTAATGACATTGAGCAGGCCCACTGTACAAGATAAACGTTTTAACATTAGGTGATCCCAAGATGTTAGTTTTAAGAAGATTGATCTAGTATAAAGTAACATGGAATGCAAATTGTAGTAATTCACAATCCATGAGTACATACATTTTTCCCATTCTTAAATCAATTTTAGCCTAATGTAGCAACAGCAAAAATAACCAAGCTTTTTCCCAATCGGCTACATAGATCAAACTACGCCATAATGTTCTATCAAAAATCATGTTTAGCATGCTACTAAAATAAATTACAAGAAAAATCGTATCAAAATATTTGTTTTTACCTCGCCTCATTTTAACTACACCTCTGAAGACACCAATGTTGTTGTAGCATAACGCAAGTGTTCCAATTGCCATTATCTGTTACGACATACATACATCAAATAAGTATTAAAGTTACTAGAAACAAGTATGAAAATAGCCATTATACATACATACACAATCATTAGAAATTAAATACATATCCAGAGGAAATAATATAGAAAAGAAAGAAAAAAAGAACTCTCGAAATGTATGAAGGAAAAATAAGATCCGCGCAAAATCCTATTAAACCTAGAAATTCCTCCACAAAAAGTACTATTACTAGATTTAACTGAAATGGGAGGCCAACACTAAGAGATCTACACCGCTTCTGCTTTTGGAACATCAGCAGCTTGAAAAAATTACTCTTATTCTGCATCATATTGATTTATTTAAAACAAAATATGTATGCCTAATTTAGTTATATCAATTAATTTCCATTTACTAGTGAGTTATGATTAATTTGAGTGTTAACGAAGTTTAATTTAGGTGTTATTTAGCTTTTCAATAAATGATTTATAACTTAAACATGCACAAAAACATTTGTGTTTAAAATGTGATTCATCAAAAACATTGGAACCTTTTATGATTCAATTTTATCAAACCCATGAATTTAATCACCATTGGAAATAGTGTATGTTCTTCTCTAGCATGCCTGCACCGAAGTGCTGATATTTCAGCACCAGTGCGCTATGTAAACAATTGATAATCCTTTTCTTCCATGCTAGTGTTCACTCAAACCTCAGCACTCCGGCACTCGGATTCTAAGTTTTGATTTTCAAGCCAGTGCCATGGTGCAAGACTCACTAGCAGCAAAATGAGTTTCTTTGGAAAATGAAGGGGGCGTGAAAGGGACTTCTTTTGGAGACCCACAAGGACATTTTTCCCTTTTCCTTCGCCTCTTCTACCACCTTCCTTTCTCTTCTTCTCCAGTCTTACTTTCTACTTTCTTCTTCCCCCATCTCCACCCCTCCCCTTTTTCTCCACTTTCATCTTTTTTTTTCTTTCTTCTCCCTCTTTCTTAATAGATTCAATTTCTGAACCTCCTCATCTCCAGCTTTAACCCACTCACCTATGATTTTGGCCACTCCATTTTCAAAATTCAGCTCCACCTAACTAGGTATCTCCTTGATGGGTCCATTTTCATGTTCAAATTCTCTTTTCTGAATTTTTCGCAAAACACTCTAGGTAAGCAAAGATTTGCATGATAGTATTACTATAACACATCTTTTAGACAGCATTGAACTTAAAGAACCAACAACAACTAAGCCTTATCCCACTAGGTGGGGTCGGCTAGATGGGCCAACTTTCAAGATAGAATAATATAATATATTTTCATATTCTATTTAAACTTGAGTGGAAACCGCTATCGATTGAGCTATTCTAAAACACAATACGAGATGCAAATTAATAATACTTCAAACTGTTGACAAATGATGTTGTACATTCTACATGACAGTTATGTAATAAGTAATAATTAAAAGAACAACACCTGAGGAATAGCACAAAAGCGAAATATAGAAGGGTCTCGTAATGCAGACATGTATTTTAAGCTATCTTCAGCATGCAGCAAAGCATTAGTGACCATGTCGTTTAAGCATTGCACAGCCTTAACGGAGTTTTCCTCGTATTTCAAGTCCTGGATGAAAAAAATTAAATTGGAATAGAAATGAAGCAAATTATACATTTGACAATCATGCATAAAATAGTTTAAAAAGACACTCATGTGAGTATAACGTAACAGTATGCAAAGAAAGCTGTTTCACCATCAAACCCTCAAGTTTTACAAATTCATCAGAGAATCGTGAAACGGGGGGTGAAAAGGGTGAAAGACTGATTTAGATTAGAATAAATAGAAATTCTTATAGAGCCAAACCTCAAGTTTGTTAACATATTTACTCCAGATCTGCCGTGGCCAAAACATGCGTGACTTTGGTATCTCATTGATGTCTTCTAGATAATCTCGAATAATGTTGGTTTTCTGTAATCTCAAAAGGTTAACTGGAATGTGAGTACATATTGGTGAGCATTTTTTTTGCTATATATTACTTTCATGGTACCTGAAGAAACAAACCCATTGAATTTGAAAGGTCGTCTGTTGCCAGATCCTCTGTACCAGAGGCGTAGAAAAGTTTTGATAAACCAAGCCCAACAAGTCCTGCCACATAGTGGCAATATTCATCATAGTCATCGATTGTCTCTACCTGCAAATTAGTATAGCATCAAAGTGTTACAAAAATGTTCAGTTTATAGTAACACTAGTATGCATGAATGTTTGTTCACAGTTCTCACGACCGTCATTATATTTTCCTCCCCCTTAAATCATTAAAAATCAAACTACCTGAAGCCACATCATCAAAAAGAATAATAAATATTATAGCAGTCCATCAATCACAGAGGTTAACCACATCAAATGCAACTAACATTAATAAAAGGAATATATGCAGAACAGAACACATGTAAAATAAAACTTACCTCCTTGCAAATAAATTTGGCCATTCCAGCACCCATTCTTTTGGTAATGTCTTCAATTGCATCCTGATAACTGCAAAATTGATTGGTCATCATTTTATTTTTCATCTAGACTGCAAAGCTAAAACTCTTCTGATCAGATACATCTAAGAAAAGCTACTAAAGGGAGTGAACCTATAGTCCACATAGCACATCTCAAAGACCCAGATCAAATCAGCTGTTAAATACCTTCAACTTTAAAAGCATGAAAACCCAAACAAATCAGAGAACAAAACTTGAGTCTTAGGTTTATTTTACATGAAATCCCATCAAAGACCCAGAGGAATAGGAATGGACAGCTCACTAGCGTCAGATGAAAATACATATAATATAGAAAGCTATATAATATAACATGGAAGCCATTGATAATTCTAAACAATCATGAATGTGAAGCACCATGGTTATCCATCAATCTGTAATCAACAATCAATATAATCGGTAAATATTTTAAAAGATGCATGAATTTGATTATCACAACCCACAACATGGTCTATATCCAAATTTTGGCATTCCAGACAGTAAGCACCCACTTCCACCAGGGTAATAAATAATAATGAGTAGATTTTTGCAAATTAAAAACAGCAACTCATAAACCATGTATATGATGTATCACGAAATATCAAAGTGTGTTCCAGACAGATGTGCAAAGATAAGAACTAACTTCTTTCCAAGTTCCAGAAAAGCCGTTGAAACGTGATGAAACTGGTCCATTAGAACTTTGTACTCCTTTGTGCCACCTAATTACATAAAAACAATTAGCATGATGATTAGCATCAATAAAGTTTGACACATGTTAACCTTAAAACTATTTTCCTGAAAATTGATGAGGGCTGTCCCCAAAATTCCTAAAAGCAACCGCTATGGAAAGTAAAGCACACTTTAAAATACAATCCAATTACCGGAAAACAATTTAGATGTGACTAAATTGAATTTTTACAAACACAATCAAAAGACACATACAACAGAATGGAAGGGAGATGTTAAAATTATATCGGATCTTATCTTACTCGGAAGGGAACCAAGATTTTTAAATAGAAAGGAGCAAAAAGTAAAGACATACTCACATCCAAAGTGCCAATCATGATCATAGATATGGCGATGAAAAGCTATTAGTATTGGAACCTTGACATCTGTCTCTACGCCAGTATCATCCTCTGCCAAAACAATAGCAAAAGTATTAGATCCTCTAAATTTCTGAAGAACGCAACAGTCTTTCAATCAGAACGGTTTGAGCTTCAAATATATAAAATTCATATTCGAAACATGATAACCGCAATACAATAGAGATCACATAACAGGTTTACACTTAGTTTCCAAACTAATTTTATCCGAGATACATCAATCAGAGTATTTAACAACCAGAATTTTCCATCCATATATAAATATGATCCAAAAGTGGTGTTTAGGATATTCGAGAACATACCAACTGTATCAAGAGCACGAAGAACCAAATAGAATATACAAACCTGCAAAATCCATAACCAAATTCAGATAAAAAATAAAAAAAAATTAAAAAAAAAGCGGAACGATTGCGAAATGAAGGAAACTAACGGCATCACGAAGCTCGGGACGAAGCTGCTGAATAACGAGACCGAAGCTTCTAGAAACTTTATGAAGCATAGAGTAACAGAATCCCCAATGTGGTTCCGGCGGGATCTGCTTCTCGGCGTTCCTCGCCGCGATTTTGAGCTTCAGCAACGGATACAAATCATCTGGATTCTTCAGAATCACTCCCAAAATCCCCATTTTCTTCTGTTTCTAGAACAAACAATTTATCTTTCTTTTATTTCTGGAGGAATTGAAATATCAATGGCGAGAAATTGAGGCCATTTGAATTTTTGTCACTATATATTGGATCTTTGTTATTAGCGATAATTTGCCGGTGATTGTGATTGTGATTGTGACAATTTTGGAAATTTGGAGTTTTATTTGAGGTAGGAAAATATTGATACCATCTACTATTTCTCGTTGAGTTTCGTTCGTACGGTTCGAGATGTGTAGACTCGTTTGCCCCTCGTGGTTAACCAAGAAGAAATGCACTCGGGTTGAATATTAGAAGGTCTTTTTTGTGGAGATTTATAGTGTAGTTTGTGGTGTTCTTCAACTACTAATAATCTCTTTTGACAGCTATGCCTATCTTTGAAATGATTTTAGAGATATGCCTATTATATACTTATGCTATATTTGGATATCATGGAGATATCATAAAACTAATGAAGTAGAGATGAATGATATACTATTTTATTGATTGGAAATTTTATAATAGAATAAGATAAATTGTTCATTTCATTTAAATAGGAGGAAAGAATACGGTGGTAAGTGATGTAATTGAATTGAATTTATATTATTCTATTTCGTTCCGTTCCATATGTATTTTTAAATTATTCAAAAAATATAATATCATTTTTTTCCATCACATTCTATTCTATTACATTGAATTTCATCCATCCAAACAAAACCTTAATTTATATGCTGTATACTTTCTCGACTATTATAAGCACTTCTAATATTTTATATTTAAAAATTCATTTAACATGTTGAGATATCAATATGTGTAATTTTAATTTTGCATGCCATCTCTTACTATTTATAAGAAAAAAGATTTTAGATTCATTCCATAATTAATGTATTTAGATCGTATAATATATCATATATATTAATTATTTAATAAATTTAAAAAAATATTTTTCTTTTATAAATAGGATTAGAGACATGTTTTGGAAGAAAAAAATTAAAATGAACCAGATAAATTGCATAGGAGATTATATACTATTATCGAGATTGATAGAATGCAAAATTAGGGGTAACAGAGGTGAAGAGAATTTGAAGATTGATATTAGTAAATGTTTCAGGTTGACCAAAGATCCATTACGACAGACACATTATCTATGCTCGATCTAGTTAGTGTGTCAAGTACTCTCCTACAAGGGGATCTTCATTATTGGGATGTCGCAAAAAAAAGCTCTTTTTTCCATCTAAAGTGTTGATTTACATTGGACAATCGTTTGCACACCACACAAGGATAAATCGAAGATAGTTGTAATAGTCTCCATTATGAAGTGTGACCCTGGGTCACACTCAAATATTCTTTCACTCACACTTATAATAGTTCTTACTTTCTCAAGTATTGATTTAAGTATTGAAGTGTTAACCTTTTGTCAGATTCCCCCGTCTGATCGTTGAATAACCATAACCGCTACATTGGAAGCCTTCCTACAATAGTCATCATCAATCTCTCATCTACTTTAGTGGCACCATCTGTGGGAACATTTTCTTATTCTCACGAATTTTCTTTCAAGTTTTTCACTTGTGCAATCACAAACCTTTCCTATTAACAATTTGGACAACTATTTCATGATTATTTTTCTAATATCTTCTCTTATGCCTATTCAAATCTAGGTCGTCGTAAGTTGCAACACAACTTTTCATCTTCATTTAGTTGTTGATATTCTTCAAGATAACCTTCAATCAGTTTTATTTGTCGTTAATGAAGATCATCAAGCTTCCTCTGTGATTTCACACCAGTTCACGAAACTCATCTAATTCCTCCATGATCCAAAATTGTTTTTAATGATTTAAGGGATTGGATCTTTAAGGGAGACTCAAGGTTATACTACATGTTTAGAGAGAAGTTGGGATTAGAAGAACCATTAAGCATTGTGAACTACTTGCACGAGTTCGACCATACATCAACTATGAAGAAAAGTTAATAACTTAAGACATGGAGAGGAACAAGACATTTGGGAGCTCCATAGAAAACAAACTATGTTAAAACATGGATATGGAGAAGAACAATGGACCATGGTCCTAGTTATCAAAGTACACCTTATTTAACACATCTAGCGAAAGATTCCTGCATGATTGTGCTAATATTGAATTCAAAGAAGTCAAGGTGAAATACCCATATGTCTTGAATGAGTCAGCATGTGCTGATAAAAAAGTATTATAAGTTTCATATAGAGATGACACCAACAAGTACATTCATCTAAAGGATTTCATTGAAGACCTTATCAAGAAAGAAATACTTGGTAGATATACCAATGAAGAAACATGGAGATGAGATAATGAGAGGCACAAATATTCATAAAAAGATACTCATTGGAGCGAATATTTGCACATAAAGTGTTCCTTTCTCTATGGGTGTTAACTCGCCTAGAAAGATAATAAAAGCAATGGAAAAAAGCCCAATAAGGTAAGAGATAACATTGATGAATAAAATCACAAAAGAGGAAAATAATCATTAAGAACCTCCATTTAAGTTGGTTGCCGCTTTATTTCATCCATCACATGAGAGTTCCTACCACCAAATATGTCATCAAAGAGAAACCTCAAGAGGGAAAAAAAACATAATTGTCGTTCATTGGTCGAAATCAGGAGTTTTATTCATGCAAGATCGATGAACAGTTCATTGTAGGATTTAGAGACAAGAAGAAGGTTAAAGGTATCCCAAACAATATATTTCCATTAGTAATAATAGTGATTGTGTTAAATTTCTATGTTTCTTGAATTCTCACTAACAAAAGGAATTTGTGTGACATTATGCATACTGAATTATTCACCAAGATAGGCTTGAGAAGAGAAGCTTTGTCACCTTACACGGGAATGAATTTGTAAGGTTTCAATGGAGTGGTAACATATCCTTAATGCTTTGTTTAATTTTGGTTACCTTTGAAAAAAGAAACATTGTTAGGACGATAGACATTCAATTCCTAACAGTGTTGTGCAAAATAGTCTACAATTACATCTAGGGAGACCTTTCACAATGACTTTAGATGTAGTTTCGTCTATGGTTCATTTAAAGATGAAATATCACAATTTTAATGACAAAGTGATGAGCATATGTGCGGACCTTGCAGGATTTTGAATTTTCCCCAAGGCCCTGCAGAGGATCCTGGATGTAGTTGTCATCTAGGAAAATGATAATTTGAAGAATGTAAGTTCTTCTCAATCGCACCATATATATACAAATGTCATGAAATTAGGTGCATGTAATAAGGAAGTCATGTATGAGGACGAACACAGTCTACCGAGACTTTTCCTCATCGAGGCTAGAATGAAGATTCCAAAGCCAGCCCCAAATGGGGACTTAATATTTATTCAACTTGGCAACAATCTAGAACATACAGTTAGGATTAAGGCAAATCTCCCAAATATTATGGAGGATGGACTCATAATGTTACTCAAGGCAAAGGTAGACTTACTCTCGAACTTCTCCAAGGAGATATTAGACATTAATCCCTACTTGGCATATCACCAACTAAATATTAACCCTAGTTCCAAATACATCTCCTAGAGGAAAGAAGTTAGACATCAAAGAAATTTGAAGCCACCAAGAGTACATTAGATAGACTTATACAAGCTAACTTCATCTTAGAACTGAAGTACACATGGTGTTAGTCAAGTAGGCAAATGGAAAATGATAAGTGGCAAAAATGAGTTGATTACATTGGCCTCTATAAGGCTTTCCCCAAAGATTCTTACTGTTCTTGCATAAGAATAATAAATGGTTGAATTCCTTATAGGAATAAGGATAACCTCAAAGGTAAATTTCTATCAAATATGTGGGGATTTGGGAGTTACACTAATAGTGTGTATTGCCCAAGAAAAGTGTCTTGTTTGTCCCTCTGGAGGGAGCCCCTTACATAGTCCTCTTTTGACACCATTAAGAGCCTCAATCATGGTGTGACCCTTGGGCTTTGTAACCCTGTAATAGCCGATGTCATATCTCAAATCTTCCCTACTAATTACTAACCAGTTTATCTTTGTTTACTAATTATGGCATTCTTATTGTAATATTAATTTGTGTTGTTCTAGTTACCCATTTTTAAAATTGTTTAGATACAAGGAGGTTTAAATTCTAAAAAGGGGTGTATTCTGCCATAGGAGTTTATTAAATCGTTTTTAGACAGACCGACCCATTTTTAGAGGCTCATGTTTAATCTTTATAAAGTCTATACAAAGGGGTATGTGTTTAAATTGAGGGTTTGTGGGTTTTCTAAATCAGAAAGGCCCATTTAGTTCTTTTGGCCCGTTAAGAAAATTTCTGAGGCCCATTAGATGGAAGGTTGACCGAAGTCAACTGTTGTTTGCTTTTGTCAATTTTTACTTTCAGTCAGTCCTTTTTTATTTATATATTACTGTTTTGTTATTAATTTATATTAATTAATTTTTTATTATTATTATTATCATTATCAATTTATTGTTTTTCTAAGTATGTTGATCGAAGTCAACTAGGGTTTCAACCCCCAATACTCATTTATGGCGCGTTGTTCATTTTCTTTGCTAAGAAATGAAGCCCAAGTTCAGAAACCCAAAACTGAAGAAAATCTCCATAAACAGAATCGAATCAAATATTATACATAATCTAATTTTATTGATATTGAATATACACACAAAATCAGTGCAGATGCATGCAAAAGATTAAAACCCTAATTTCTAACAAAATTTAATCAAATCAATCTACAAGCGAAATCAAAACTAATTATAATTTCCTAAATTTATTCTCAATCAACAAATTGTAACAAAAATCAATACAAAAATTTCCTAATATAATTTAACCCTAAAACTCTATAAAAATCCTAAGAAATTTAAGAGGGGGAATCGGAAAATTTGTAAGACAAGAAAGGAGAAGAAGAAGAATTGAAGAAGGTTGCATCGCTAATTCCACTTCCGCCATTGGCGTTTCATGATTAAGATCTGGGTTTCATAACTGAAACCCTAGATCCTCCCAGCCCTTTTCGTGCCAT